ATGTTTCTGACACCTCATCTACATTGGAAGCAAGTGTAAAAACTGATGCTACATCTTGGCTTGTGCTACTGACAACAGGGAAAATGGGTTTTCAGTGGTCACTAGTGCAGACATGTTGTGAAAGAAATTGCATATTCAGCTATGAAGAAAATAGCAGGACTTGATTTTATCCATCAGGTGATAATTAGATCATGTAGAGGTTACATAGGAGTATGGAGCCATACCTGAATGCTTGCAAATTATTATGGAGGACCACAGGCGTATTCACACCAAGTACAATAACTATAAAGATTTGATTATTCTAATTCTTTGAGAATAGCCAATACCACTATTCTCATAGAAGGAATGAAAAAACACTGACAGCCAATCAGAATCCACCAGACATTAAAGAGCTCAAGCATTTAAAGCGGCAGATGACAAAACGGCAGTGCGCTAATAAAATAAACAGAACGATATCTTGAGTTGGTGTAGATGCTAATATAATTATCATCATAGTTATCTTTATAGTTATCATTACTGGTATAAACGGCTTTAGTACTTGCCACCTGAAACACTGCCAACACACTGTTGAGAAGACTTTCTGACTGATTGCCATTTAAATTCCTCTATTTGCTGACAATTACTCAATGACAAGATTTTAAGCTGTCAAGGCTGTTTTACCTGAAAAACGGGTTCTCTTTCAAACAGTAGCTCGGTATCTCACTATGGGGAACGCCTCAGGCGTGATAGACTATGGAAGCACCATTCACACCACGTTTGTCCACAGGGCACACCAATCACAGCTCATGACCAGGAACCCACCCCCTTCCTATATATATATATATCGCTGTGATCCCTGAAATGGCATTCTTGATGTCTTCCCTGTGAAGACTTTCCTTCAGCACCTAAGCTGCACTGCTCCAGTTCACAGATGTACCGTTAAGGTTGATGTTGCCGAACGCAGTGCAGTTACGATCTGTCATGGATTGCTCGTTACGGAGTTTTTCTACTTCGCTTTCAATGGTGCAGTCTCCAATAGCTAACGCGTCAAGGCGAGCTATAAGTCTCTGACTTGTCCACCATGTCGGTGTCTAAGATTGTGCCAGCGAGAGGGAAAGAAACTAAGCAAGCCAAAGGCAATAGTGGCAAGGAACCAAAACTCCATCGGTGACAGCAGGGGCGCAGATGGGATTTTTTAACTGGGGGGGACCAAGCTGTCAGCAGTAGGGATGTAATGATTCACTCAACTCACGATTCGATTCGATTCACGATTATTATATATATATTTTTTTTTTACAAAATGAAATTTAAAACAAATTATAAATTAAATGTGTCCTTTTATTATTGCTTGGACAAAATACTGTACGTTTCTTTGTGAAATTGAAATATAACACCATAATAATAATTACTAATATAGCACTTAAATTATTGCTCTTTTGTTGGTTTTGATTGCTTCTATTGTCCTCATTTGTTAGTCGCTTTGGATAAAAATGGTGGCAGCACCATCGTCATGTGTGTTTATTGACAACAAAACAGCTTGTAGTAAGAACGTGGGTACAAAAGTAGATTATTATTGTGCGTCAGCCTGCGTCTGCCCCAACCCGATCCTGAAGCAATGGTGGCAATAATTAAAGGTGCACTAAGCGATTTTTTCCAAAAGATGTTGATATTTGAAAGCACCAAAACAAACGCCCATACCCCAACAGGACATCGCCCCTATTTTGAAATCTCCGCCCCACACGTACATACGCAACCATGGCACCGACGATCGCGGAAACAAGTGAAGATGACACACAATCATATTCAAACAAAAGCCAACACGGATAAGTTGTGTGAAATAAAGCAAAGTCAACGTTACTCACCTATCAGTAAGAAACAGCATAACCTTGGTGTCCGATTCGAGCCCTTTCCGCTCCTTGAGTATCTCTCCACTGCTGGAAAGCTGCTCCGATATTTACGCGGGTTCTACCTCTTGCCTGATCGTAACCCTTCTTTTTAATGTTTTGTTTCTCTGATATTTTACTCTTTTTTTTAATCTGCCATCTCTCTCTATCTATAGTCGACCTGCTAATATCCGTCCTGTGCACTCAAATTGAGCGCTCTCTTCTCTCTATCAGTACAAGACACGCCCCCTTACTGCTGATTGGCTACAAGTGTGTTTTGGGACTCGGTCAGACACTGCAGTCAAAAGCAGTTTTCAAAAATCGCTTGGTGCACGTTTAAGGAGCGGCGGGCCGGGCCACCACTACTTAGGCTAATGTACATCTGCTGATGGACACCATGCTGCGTTGTCACGGGAACATCCCAGCTGAAGATAATGAGGAAATTACATCGCTCCCTTTGCCAAGTGCATTCCAAAGGACTACATAATGGCACGCACGTGCCCTGCTCACTCCAAAGTCCCCACTCCAAGGGGATAGGGATGATCACTTCCATTTGGAATTTGCGCGTGAACCGTTCGGTACACGATACGCGTACCGTTACACCCCTACTATCCAGTGCTAGAACTCCATCAACACGCTCATTATATGATCTCAAATGGCGTGTGTTTGAGGACTGGTGCACTCGTAAAGGAGTTATTCCTTTTCAGTGCTCGGTGAGCGATATTCTCTGTTTTTCAGTGCTCTGAGCGATAGAGCTTAATGGACAGTGGTAGAGTGTTTACCACTATTAAGGTTATTCTGGCTGCTATTTCGGCTTGCCACGTAGGCTTTGAAGGAGCTTCGGTGGGTCAACATCCTCTTATATGCTGTTTTATGAAGGGAGTGAGGTGTCTGAGATCAGTGTCGAAGCAGCTCATCCCATCATGAGACCTGTCCAAGGTTTTGAGTGCTTTAACTTGGGCCCCATTTGAACCTATGAAGAGTGTTCATATTAAGTTCTTATCTTTGAAAACGGTCCTACTCTTCGCTTTAGTTTCAGCTAAGTGAGTTGGTGAGTTACATGCTTTGTTGGTTCATCAGGCATGTCTGAAGTTTAGTCTGGATGGCAGAAAGTTTACGCTGCTGCCTAACCCGGCTTTCATCCTCACTGTCAGTGATTCAATTTATATCTGCACTGCCTTGGAATTGAGTTCTTTTTACCCCTCTCCGTTTGCTTCAGAGGAGGGGTGTGATTGCACACATTGTGTCCGGGACGGGCGTCACGCCATTATGTAAATGGGATGAAATGTCATGAGATACCTCACTCTGCTAAATGACTAAATGTAATGTAAATAGGACACGATCATTCAGAAAGAATGATCAGTTATTTGTTTCATGGGCTGGTCAATGTAAGGGTAAGCCGATCTCCTCGCAGCGCCTTCCCCATTGGATGGTGGAGGCGATTGAGTTGGCCTATACAGCTATGGGTCTCGATTCCCCAGTGGGTATAAGGGCTCATTCTACATGAGGTATGTGTATGTCGTGGGGACTGTTCAGGGGGATTTCGGTAGGAGATATTTGCGCAGCAGCAAGCTGGGCTTCCCCTCATACATTTATCAGATCTGAATGTCACTGCGCCTTCTATGGCTCATGCAGTTCTCAAAGTCGGCTCGTGAGTGAAATGAGAGGTTATCTTTCATTTACACTGGGTCTGTTCAGCAACTTCAGAAAGCATGCGTTACGGGAGTTGTCCATATCATTCCCATAGTGATATACTGAGCAATTGTTTGAAAGAGAATGTAAGGTTACTTGTGAAACCCTGGTTCTCTGAAAACAGAGTGAGGTATCTCACCAAGCTTCCCTTCTTGCAAAACACAGGGGAAGAGCATGCTTAGAATGCGGTTTCAGGGATCACAACGGTATATATAGGAAGGGGGTGGGTTCCTGGTCATGAGCTGTGATTGGTGTGCCCTGCGGACAGACTTGGTGTGATTGGTGCTTCCATAGTCTATCACGCCTGAGGCGTTCCCCATAGTGAGATACCTCACTCTGTTTTCAGAGAACCGGGGTTACGCAAGTAACCTTACGTTTTCAAGTCCTAAATATGATGACCCCTTTTCAAAAATCTAAACTGCTTTTGATGTATACAAACCCATACATACTGTATGAGGAAAAAAGTCACTGTGGAAAATGTTTTTAAGAATAAACTTTTGAAGTACAATCGACTTATGTGTCATTTCAACGTTAAATTACATTAAACTGACTTAAAAACATGAGTTGAATTTTGTATAACTTATTTTAAAAAGTTATAAAAAAACATTTTGATTAGTTAATGTAAAAACATGTTGTCATGACTTACTGATCATACCATTTTTTACATCTAAATTATACATTATACTATATTACATTAAATTACACATCTTTGCAGAATTAAATAATTAGCTCCTTTTTGTCTTGGGAAAAATACATTACTGCATCTTAGTCAGGACAAAAAAATATATATAAATAAATAAATTAGTTGTTTACTTATTTATTTATTTTTTACATATTTTACAGACACCCTTAGCACCCCAATGCAGCTGCCTGGGCGACTCCTGGCCTAAAACAATAGGGTTTTTTTGCCTACTTTTTTTGGAATAATGTGCCCTGATGAACACAGTGAGACCAAAAATACGCATTAAGAAAGTAAACTGGGTGAGTTTTGATTTCATGTTGACTTTATCAAGGAATCTTTTCATATTAAATTTTCCTGTCCTTTGAAATGTCCTTTGAATTCTCCTTTAAAGGGATAGTTCACCCAAAAATTTAAATTCTGTCATCATTTACTTACCCTCAAGTTGTTTCAAACCTGTACGAGTTTCTTTCTTTAGCTGAACACACACACACACACACACCTTTTTGTTAAATGTTGGTAACCAAACAATTGCTGGTAGCCATTGACTTCCATAGTATTTTTTTCCATTCTCTAGAAGTCTATAGATGGCTAACGGCAACTGTTTGGTTGCCAGCATTCTTCAAAATATCTTATTTTAAATTCAGCAGAAGAAAGAAACTCCTACAGGTTTGGAACTTGAGGGTGAGTAAATGAAGATTTTTGGGCGAACTATCCCTTTAAGTCAGTTCTTTCTTCTGAAGTATAAAAATAAAAGTTTCAGGACAATTGGTTAATATCCTTTATTTCCAAATTCACGTGTACATCAACAAGAATCATTGAAAACCAGTTAATAATAAAACACAAACAATATTGACAACCACAGTTCCCAAGCTAAAATTTACAACTGCAAAAATGGTGTATGGAGTCAATAACAACAGGATGGCACCCAGAACCATGTTGCAGGTGTGCTACAGAGGGAGACATTTAAACCAAAGGACCGACTGACTTTCTTTCCCTCTTCCTGTCTGCTAAACGCTCACTTCCCCCCTCAACACAACATTACAACCATAACAAACAGCTTATCCCATATCCAAGCTCTCCCAACCTTCCCAAAAACACCCTAGTCAGAAAACGTTCAGAAACATGTTGCCAATCCATGTAAAAACTCAGCATGCAGATTAAATGTTGCAGGCATGGTTTCTGAACTTCACTGCTTTTTTTTTTTTTTTAATCTCTTCAAGTCCTCATATAAACATACAGTCATAAACATACAATAAACATACATTAAATATCTAATGGTAGATACACGGCTCCATCTCTAACACAAAGAAACAGGGGTTGCCGTCTGAGTAGTGCTCTTTTTCACTACTATCTACAAAGATTCCTAATAAGCACATCAGCGATTACGGGATATACGCAAGGAGGCGTGTAAGAGGCAACGCAGTATCTCGGGCTGCTTACATGAAATGCATGCAAGGAGCAAAGATAGTGTGAAGTGGTTCAAAGTTTATTAAACATTCTGCGAAACAGTGCAGTGCTGGGGAAAGAATTTAAGCCATATGATTGGCTGAGGTCATTACATCATCATTCAGTAAAATAGAATACCTTGACTTAAAATTTTACAGCTATAAAGTGGAAGCGGATGATGTGGTCAGATCAAAGTTTAACAGCATGCTTGTGCTTGAGTGACGCTTTTCGTGAAGAATGCAATACTCAATATTGTAAATGTAGTAGGCAAATTTATAATACAGTGTGTGCCTGAAGAAGAACAGTTTGGCAATTAATCTCAAATTCTTTCTCAACTAGAGCTGGATGTTGAGAATGAGAGGAACTGTTGGCAGTATTATGGAGAAAGTTTACAGGTGCATAGGTTGTGTTTTTCCACAAGATATTTCAAATAATGTCCAGATTTCTCACATGTAGCCTATCATTAATAAAACAATAACACTTTACAATAACGTTAGTCAATGTATTTTAAACCAAACAAAAAAAAAAAAAAGCAATTTTTACAGCAATTTTTTAATCCTGGTCAATTTATTAGTTAGTAAATAAATGTTAAAATGCATTAGTATATGTAGAAATGAACATTTATCGAGATTAATATGCTGTAAAAGTATTATTTGTGTTATTTCATGATACCTAAAGCTAACAAATTGAACCTCATTGTAGTATCACCATTCAAACTGTCCAAAACAGCAGACGTCCATCTTGGTTAAAACGCGTAGCTGCAATTTTAAGATAATTTTGTTTTATGTTTATGTTAAAAAATAAAAATGCAACTTCAATGCTCTGTTAATTGTCAAGTTAAAGAACAAGCAAACAAAAAAGGAGAGGCATTTTCAATGAATCACTGACATAATTCAAATCTACATTTTAAGACTGCCAGTAGGCACACAAAAAAAGTGTTTTCATATCATAAACATCCCATATTCATCCACAGAATAATACTGTAAGGAACATTTCCTTATGAAGCACTCTGAATGTCATGGTCATTTTAGACGTGAAGTGTAATCTCTGATCCGACAGTACATACGAGAGATTGAAAAGAACTAAACAGCTTTCACCTTTCTACACAAAGCTGTTATGCACCTTCTTTCTTCACATAAGCCTTGCAAATCATTTCAAAAGTGAACTGTGGGGCTTTAAGTTTCTTTCTTTCTCAAAGTCAAGATACCATGCTCTAATTTTCATTTTAAGCACTGCTAAGCATCTTATTCATAATCTCAATCTAAATTTAACCTGATTTAAAAATGAGAACAATCCTCTCTGAAAGTGAAAATGGGTTCGGTATGAACTGTCCTCAATCCAGTGGTAACCAAAAAAACGGTATGCGTAAGGAAATATATAATGGTCAATAAAAGCCATACAAATACATGAAAGTAATTTTGTACTACTAAATATAGTCAAGGGAGGGCAGTTGGAGGAAATTTCCAATTGTTAAATTCCCACAGTGGGCACTGCCTTAAAGCGAAGGGCGAGTGAACAGGCAAATTCATACATAATAAGAAGTATTACAAAGTCAAACAGTGACTGCTTAAAGTTACTTGGCGTTGTTTTCTGGGCCACAAAATGACTTTCAGAGAGAGGTTAGAATACCATCAGGTATGTGGATGGAGGGGGCGGGGTTTGGGGGCGTGGTTTGGTGGCGGTATGGTCCAATCACAAGCCCTGCTGGGCCAGCGATGCAGACACCTGGTCAGCGAGGGTGGAAAGCTGTGGCGGGTCTGCCATGTTGATGCTGCCAGAAGACGAGACGGTGCTCAGGCCATGTGGTGACTCCTCTAGAGACACGATTTCTGCGCCATGGTCGGTTCGCGCTTTGGCCTGCTCACGGAACATCAGTTTTTGCGACTCAATCTGGGAAAAGGAAATAGATATATGAACTAATGACTGCAAGTGAAACCTCTGAGGTGAAATGGCCAGCATCCAGCGGTGGTTTATGTTGGCTCAGAGCAGACCTGAGATTCTTGGATGGAGATTAAAACAGAAATCTGGACTGTAATGGTGCTATTTCCATAAACTCCTAGGAGAAATTGAGTTTCTAATACTGAATGATCCTGGATGACTATATTTGGTTTAAGAGCCAGAATATCTGTTGAGTACCCTCAAAATGCTGAATAATAATATGCTCAAATTATCAATGGATAAAAAAGCAATCAAATGATCAAACAATAAAAAAATGGGTAAGACGTGTTAAAAGGGACAAAGCAGCAGACAAAGAAAAAAATAAGAAAAAAATAAAATATTTTTTGATATACATTTCCATATAAATATGAATACTATTTAAACTAAACATTTTTTCAGTATTTCTTTTAATTTTTTTGTCAGTTGCTTTTTTTGTATTCACAAAATATATATCACTGTGCCAGAAGATGGCACCATAGATGCATTTCACAAGATATTTCAGCAAGCTTTCAATTATAAGCAATATGCAATTTATTTTTAATTCATTTATATGAAATATTTTATTGTGGTTGGTCACTTAATCATCTACCAATTTGCATATTAATTAATTCAGTAATTTCTTATTTGCATATGTATTTATTAAATTATCATCATTTTATTTATTTTTTAAGGCAAGAAACTACAGGCAAAAACAGGCCTATTTTGCTAGTCTTCTTTTAGACTAGTGTAAAGAAACCATCCAAAATACACATTCAAGTTTATTTTATTATAATCTATTTGCGTCTGTAGATATCAATTATAATACATAATCTTTAAAGGCTGTTTTCTCAAAATTATTTTTTTCTTCCTGCACTGAGCCAGAAATCTACAAACACATACATACACCATGCTTTACAGGTTTATTCCTGTCTATATTCTGTAGGTTTTTACAAAGGTGTTTGTTGATATATAATTTGCCTGATATATATTTCACTTTTTTTTTCTTCAAAACAAACATACAATTTAAACATTACATTTCAGAAAACTTGTAATATAAAACAATTGTCTTAAAGTACTGTGATTAATCAGCTGGGAAAAGTATGGTGATATCTATTAGTTAAAACAATAGTTTTACCCTATTCACCAGTACTTTCTCAAAATACATAACAGTACAAGTGCTAGTTAATTTGATGTGAATATCTCCCCTGCTCTGAATACTTACTGGAGTCCTCAATCTTTATCTGGGGGTTGCTGAGGAGAATGGGCTCTGGGGACATACTGGCAGATGAGAGGGTGGGGGTATCAGAGGGGTCTGGGGTGAGGAAGCCCTCATCTCGGGGCATATCTGCCCCTCTCCCCTTCTCTCTCTAGAAACGTACCCCAGGGTGGCCAGTGGGTGGTGAAATGAACACCATGGTCAACCAAAACAGAAAGAAACAAAATGATATGGGTTCAACAAAAAGGAAAATGATGGTAACACAAAACTAAATAAACAAGTATTCAAATTAAAGATGAAGTATGTAATACTTATATTTTTTAAATCCCAGTTTAATATGCAGAGACATTTCTAAGCGACACATTCATTTTGAAGTTTACAGAATCCAAAGAAAGGACAATGAGATGCGATTTTAAAGAAGTTAAATTAGTTCAGGGGATTTATTTAAACCCGATCTTCTTAAGAACCAAATGATTCAAACCCAAAGAGCACCTAAGACAGATTTACACAGACGTCTGGTTGTAAAATGATAAGGATTTTTGAATGTTCTTATTTGACTTCAGGGTGGAGAGTGAATAATTGGGAGTATCACATCCTATCAGCGGAGGACATGTCGTCTTACCCTCCTGTTGCCTCCTCCAGGTGTGTGTTTAATGTTGTCCATAGATCCCACCTTTGACTGAGCCCTGAATTCAAGCTTCTCAGACCTGATCTCAATGTTTCCTCCACCTTGAAAAAGCAGGTGAAATTCCTCATGATTTAACCAAATTAAACGCATTATATATTTACATGCATTCAAAACGCTAAGTAAATCAAGTCCGAGGTTTGTAAAATCCAAGGTGGACGAGCAGGATTACCTGGTTTGTGGCGAATGTTGACTTTCGATCCACACTTTGACTGCACATTGGTCAGGTCAATCTTTTTGTGGAGGATTTGCACCTTTTCAGAACAAAAAACAAGGGTTTTATTATTCTTCCAGGTGATTAAAATAAATTCTGTTTAAAACTATCCAAAACACACTTCCACAGATTTACACAAGACAAAAAAAACCTGTAACTCTTTAGTTTAGGGACCAATTCTCAGTATTAATTAGTTGTTTATTAGCATGCATATTACTAGTATATTGGCTGTTTATTACTACTGATAAAGCATATATTAATGCTGTGCATGACCATAATTTACATCCCTTAATCCTACCCCATACCGAAACTGAACAACTACCTTACTAACTATTAATAAGCAGAAAAGTAGGAGTCTACTGAGGCAAAAGTAGTAGTTAATAGTTAGTTAGTATTGAGAATTGGTCCCCAAATTAAAATCTGAAAGTGCAACTGCTCAGTAAACTTTTCAGTCCCTTGAATGCAAAACACCCTCTTGGTGGTTTAGTCACCTCTGAGAATATCTTTTTTTTTTAAATGTATTTATAGAGCTGTAATCTAACCTCAAATGATCATGAACCACAACCCTTTAATTATTTTAGGCGGTCATCTGTCTACTAAACAAGTTTGTTCTTCACTTTAGACTATAGATTGAGGATACAACATGAGAACGGTACAATTGTGTACCATCCCTGCTCCCAAAAATAGAAGCAATGACCTCATAGCCACAGCTGTTGTTTTTTTTTCTGTATAAAAAGGCCTCAGTGTCTTCAGTGTGAGGTCAGCTCTCAGCTCTAGCCAACTGCTCACCACAAAGGAGCACTCGGCTGACCAGAGCACTACAACGAGATCCCTCTGTGCTAAAGAGCTGATGTCCTTCAACAGCAGAGGAGAGCAACTCATCTCTAAGGATCTCTATGGATCACTTGCTGGTACTTTAATGAGTGTACTAAATTGTCCTTAATGACAGGCCGGTTGGCATTAAGGGTTAGGATTTTAGTGGTGGTCTGGTCATCTGTTTTTGTAAGGACACAGGCTTTCCTCAAAGTCAAAAATCAGTCTTGTAATTATATGGAAAATTGTTTATTACATGCTTAACTTTATTGAAGTATGGGAACTTTCTGTTTTGAGTGAAATGTAATTGCTATGAATGTCAATGCCACAAAACAGCATGTGTGCTTCTGAAATTATGTTCTAGTTTTAGGAGGTTTGGAGGGGGGGGGGTATGAAAAGCTTACAAAAATGCAAATTGAGTCGAACAATTAATAAATCACCATAAAAAAAAACTGAATTTATTAGGGTCTAGTACCCATTTAATTGTGAATGCTCATTTCCTGTATTTTTACATTTAGATTAAGTGAGCAATAGAAGCTACATTTAGGTAAAGTTAAGCTTTAAAAACACTAATATTTTAATAAATAACACTTGTTAAATGTAATCTTTAACAAATCTCAAAAAGAATAACCATCTTTCATTATGATGGCAAAATTCACTTTTAGCATTTAAAACGACTGATTTTTTATTTTATGCATTTAGACAAAAGCAATTTATCGGTTATTGGCCATAATTATTGGCTGATTAGTATCAGGCAGAATTGTAATATCTGTGCATCCCTACTATTAAAGTGCCCATATTATGCCATTTTTAAGGTTCCTAACATTGTTTTGGGAGTTTCCTATAATAGGTTTACATGCATGCAAGGTCAAAAAACGCTTTCGTTTTCTCAAAATATGCGTTTAATATCGCCTCATTTTCCAATGATTCTCAAACAATTCGTTCAAAGCAGTTCTAAGATTCAGTCTCTCTAAACCCCTCCTTTCCGTGAGCCTTCTCTGCTCTGATTGGTCAGATGGCCCAGTCAGTCTGTACTGTGTACAGCTCGTGTCGGAAACGATACGCCTATTGCCATAGTTCCGTATTTTGAACACTCGATAGAAAATATAAACATCTATTATTTATCATACTTACAGGTTGTGATTCAGTGGAACCAGCTGATCCAAATAAACTGGGTACTGAGCTCATCTTTCAAGAGCAAGTGTTTTGTGAATCCCGCATTGAACTCCCCGAGATTAGTAAAGCAGTTGTCAGTAAAATGACAGGAACACAAAAAAAGTTTTGGGTTGTACTGCTGAGGTACAGTGGAAAAAAAATGAATTTGAAGCAGATTCTTTGCAGCCTCATCTTTCGGAAGTGAAAATAAAATGAATTTACTTTCACAGCGTAAGACACAGCGTCTTCTTGACATGATGTTAACCACATGAATAAGCTACGGTGTTTGAGGGCGGGTCAAGTTGTTTGCGGCCGGCCAACGTAGAACATAGGCATGCATTATGCAAAGGTGTTACCCTGTGATGTGTAGCTGTCACAGAAGTGGGATTCGAACTGCTGACGACTCATTTGGGCTGTTCAAAGAACATTCTTTCTTTTTGGAGACCATAACTTTATTTATCGTGCATTTTTCAGTTTATATTCACATACAGCTACATTACACAGTGCATGAAAGGCAATATTCGAAATGTCATAATAGGGGCACTTTAAAGTCTCTATAGTATGATTTTTGGTTAAAACACCAACAAACGGGCCCCTGTTTACTCACTTTTCCACCTCCGGGTACATGTTTGATATTATCTTTGGAACCACACCTAGACTGCACAGTAGTTAAGTCCAACTTCTGATCAAGAATTTGAACCTGAAAGAGTAAACAGTTTGGGGTTACCTGTATTTTTTTTAACTTGGGACCAGAGAGGAACCAAAAGAGCCACCAGATGAAACTAACATAATTCATCATTGGGAAAGGCTTTTTAGGCCATGAAAGTGCAGACGTTTTTGACTTTGAGGGGGTAGATCGAACGGGGTGTCCAAGGTTTCCACAAATGGTCATAACTTTAGGAAGAACCAAGACTGAAGGTGTTGAGTTCAACCCATAGTTACTCACATTGCCACCTCCAGGTACATGTTTGACATTGTCTTTGGAGCCACATTTAGACTGGACATTACTAAAGTCCAACTTCTGATCCAGTATTTTTTACCTGGAAAATCATGTTGGGAAGAGCAGGAGTTATCTTTCCAATTATCTCAGAGACAGAAAGAACTGCCAATGAGAAAGAGCCGTGAGTATGTGAATGGTACAGCGCAAACACGAATTCACTATAATAGCTTTTTTATCTCCCACTCACTTGTTCAACAATTGACTCAACAATTGTAAAAACCCTCTTTTACAGTTCATTGTCAAACCAAAAGTGTAGTCGGTGACTGTGTAACAGACAAAACTACTACATTGAATGAGAGCTTTCACTTTTATACAAGGTTTCCACAAATGGTCATAACTTCAGGAAGAACCAAGACAGAGGGTGTTGAGTTCATCCCATAGTTACTCACATTGCCACCTCCCGGTACATGTTTCAAATTGTCTTTGGAGCCACACTTTGACTGGACATTACTGAAGTCCACCTTCTGATCAAGAATTTTTACCTGAAAGAGTGCAGAGGTCAAGGAAAAGAAGAATCACCTTTTTGGTTGAAGCCAAATCAGAAACCTTCTGATTTTTACTAATAACATCTGAAGTATACAGTATTTACAACTTCATGAGGAACATCTAAGGAACATCTCAATTCAGTACAATATGGCTGGGAGTTTGATTAGACTCCCATCTATCAGAAGTAAGGAATGAAAGAATAATGGCAAATTTAGGAGTGAACTGGTTCTCCATACTGTTTTATCCAATAGTAACTTACATTGCCACCTCCGGGTGTGTGTTTTATATTGTCTTTGAAGCCACACTTCACATTGGACATTAGTTGGACATTACTAAAGTCCATCTTCTGATAAAAAATTTGCTGCTGTTTAAAGTAAACGTTTGGAAGTTTTCATGAACAAAAACTGCAAATTGGTAAAAGTTCCCCGATACTCATGAAGGATAAAGACATATGTGACCCTGGACCACAAAACCAGTCATAATGGTCAATTTTTTTAAATTGAGATTTATACACCATCTCAAAGCTGAATAAATAAGCTTTCCATTGATGTATGGTTTGTTATGATAGGACAACCTTTGGTCGAGATACAACTATTTGAAGACTGGAATCTGAGGGTGCAAAAAAATCTAAATATTGAGAAAATCGCCTTAGTGCTTTCCAAAAATAGACTTTGGAACGGCAAACATTTTAGGTTGTTTGCACAATTGGATAGTTACCATTCTTGGGAAATGTAACCATTACAATACCTAGAGATAATATATTAGTCAATTCTCATTGTACTTTCCAAAAATAGACTTTGGAATGGCAAACATTTTAGGTTGTTTGCACAACTGGATAGTTACCATTCTTGGGAAATGTAACCATTACAATACCTAGAGATAATATATTAGTCAATTCTCATTGTACAGTATAATTCTTAGCTAACATTTGGCAAACAGTGGCAGTTTACTGATAATGTTGGGATAGCCAATGACAAATACAGTATAAAATGCAATAAAATAAGTAATAAGTAATAAAATGTATGTGTTGGATTTAGGGCTGCACGATTATGACAAAAATCATAATTGTTGATTATTCCCTTGAAATTGTAATTGCGATTATTAATTTACGATTATCATGATGATGTTTATACCATTGTTTGATGCAACTGCATGCCGTATTTTTATATGAAAATAAACAAGCTGAAAACACTCTAACTGAAAAACCTTTAGTGCTTTTCTATAGTATTAAGCCTCAAATGTCAACTATACATCGGATTGGTTTCTTCTTTAAATTATAAAAAAGTAAAAATATGAATGGTATTATAATGTTATACTAAAACAATGGAAAAACCCTTAAGATAACATGTAGAAAGAAAAAACGCATCTTAAGCGTGCAGAATAACATAAGTGGACTTTGAACGATTAATTGCCGCTTTGAACGATTACGTAATTGTGGCATCCATAATTGTAATTGCGATTAGAAATTCGATTAATTGTGCAGCCCTAGTTGGATTCATTCCAGAGTTACTCACATTTCCACCTCCTGGTACATGCCTGAGGTTGGCTTTGGAGCCACACTTAGACTGAACATTACTGAAATCCACCTTCTGATCAAGAATTTGTACCTGTGAAAGGAAGAAGATAGGGAGAGTTGTAAACTACTGCGACTTATAAACTACTCTTGAGAGAGTTATTTGAGTAATAAACAGGTTTCCATTAGCCTTTGACCACAATGACCACATGATATGATCAATAAGTCATGGTAAAATATGTTTTTAACAACAAAAAAAAAATCACATTTTAAATTTCTAATTTCAACGTTTTACAAGATTCAACACAGAGTCAGTTTAATATAATTTTAGCTGAAATTACTTGTACAGCCAATTTGATTATACTTAAAAACTTAAGTTCAGTTGCTGCATTTTAGGTGTTTAGTTTAGTTTTTTTAAATAAATGTTATATATGAAAATGTTCCACCTACTTCAACATAAAAATGTGATTTTTATTGGATCTCAAACCTAACTGCAAACAGAATATTAAAGTGAATCAACTCAAGATGAATTACCCGGCCGCCTCCGGGCTGGTGCTTCAAGTTGTCAGTGGAGCCGACTTTGGAGCGTATGCTCTTCAGATCAGGGAGGGGGGCAGCGGCCGACAGTGATGTGGGTGAACGGTTCTTCGGAGATTTAGGGGTCGAGCGAATCACTGCGACCTTCTTGATTTCATTTCCTGTGCTTGGAGGCTTGCCACCCGCAGCCTTGCTGGCAGGGGATTTGGGAGTGCCGGGGCTGCTGTGCCCACTGGTCTCCGGGGTCTTAGGAGAGTCTGGGAAACAGTATAGAGTTATGAAGATGGCAATAATCTCATAATCAAATGTTCCATTCTTCAAAAATATATACAAGATTCATTCCTAAAAACCCCTTTGTGAAAGAAACTCACTTACCTTTTCCATTTTTGGCAACTGCAGTCATGGCAGGAATCTTTGAACCGGCAGCATGAGGTCTACCGCTAGCCTAGAGATATACAGGAATATATAGAGAGAAAGAAATAGAAATACATTAATAATTTTATTCTATGAAATTATAGATAACAAAACAACTGCTTATGTCTATATATCCACTTATACTTAATAATTAATTAATTAATAATTTATGCATTTAGCAGACACTTTTATCCAAAGCGACTTACAGTGCATTCAGACTACACATTTTTTACCAGTATGTGTGTTCCCTGGGAATCAAACCCATAACCTTTTGCACAGCTAACGCAATGCTCTACCACTGAGCCATAGGAATATGTAACATATGAACATATACTTATATCCACTAAGCACATTCTCCCCTCAGTTTTGCCATAATTTCCACCATAACCCACAATTTTCAGTTAGTGTAAATTCAGTTTCACAAGAACAAAACTGACGAGAGCTTGAAATAAGTTAAAGTAGAAAAGAGATAAATATCACTTGCGACAAAATATTTGTGAGTCACTTCCAACCAAGCTGTAATTTTCTCAAATTATGCAAAAGCTGTAAAAATATTATTTAAGGACACAAATGCTATGTGAAATTAGCCTTAACAAGACAAAGAATTTTGCCATTTTTATGACAAAGAATGTAATTTCCAGCACAGTATGTCATTTCCACTATAAAGATGTGTTGGACATGACATTTATTAGCATATCAAAATGACAATTCTCTAGCGATACACGTATGCCCACTGTTGGACATTGTTGGACAAAAGCACTCATATTTGAAGAAGCATTCATAAACAAATGAGAAAAATTTATTATAGGCCTAATGACATGTTTGCCTGTTCAAACATACAGTTTATCGAAAGCACATTCAGTAATGATTAACCCATCCACTGGAAGCACAACCAAGTTATGCAATACAATTATTCTAAAATCATGCTGACTATTTTAACTTGTCAAAACTAACATCAAAGACAGAATTTTGTGTGAATGAAATGTTGGACAGTTAGTAGGAGGAGAGAAAAAGATGCTGTTAATCACACCAGACAGTGTGCAAACTGGCAGTAAAACAGATGCAAAGTTAAACCATTCTCCACAGCAGCAGTAGGACACGGGGTCCGACACCAGCAGCTGTACTCACTCTTGGCCTGGATTCTTTGGGTCCAGAACTGATGGCAGGTACTGAGGGAGATCTACTAGAGGAGGCCAAGGACTTTTTCGGGATGGAGGAAGGTGCTTTATGGGAGGAGGGTCTGTCTTTACTGTTTTTAGGGGTCTTTACATAAAGAGCAAAACCATAGTGGATGAAAACTCCATGGAGTACAAATAGCGACAGAAAGCAAAATAAAAGGCAAAACAATTCTACAGTGAAAGTGGAAGAGAACAGAAAGATGATGCAAAATAGCTATTAGCACTCACCCTCTTCTCTGCATCACCATTGGTCTTGGACTGAGCTGTGAAGAACCAAAAAATGCACCAATATGAATACAATCAGTATATCAGAAATAGGATGCGAATAAATGTGTTGCTAAGCTTAGTGAGCTGCCTAACCATTACTAAATCATTACTAAACCTCACAAGCGACTAATCTGTAACACTAGAGACTCAACTTACAATCAATTTCAACGCGGTTTGATGTTAACATGTTGCTAACAAGGCGAAACAAATACATAGCACATACAATTACTGGATAAAACAGTTTGTTTCAAATGATGTAAAACCGTTTTTATAAATTCTTTAAAGTACTGAATTAAATGGTTTTAGTTTATAATCAACATTTCGCTCACCTGGCCTGCCATATTGGATTTAAAAGTTCATCGTAATGCATTCTGATACTGCCTTTTCCATGAAGGAATAAGAGGTCTACAGCAATGCTGTCTACATAAGCTTCTTTAAAGTTCTTCCTCCGTACACTCTTAGAAATAAAGGTTCTTTATTGGCCATGATGGTTCCATGAAGAACCTTTAACATATATGGAACCTTTCCATTCTACAAAAGGTTCCTTATAATGGAGTCTTTAGATTTTAAAATGTTCTTCAAAATGAGAAAGTAGTTCTTTTAAGAACTGTTAACAGAAAGGTTCTTTGGAGAACCAAAATGTTTCTTCTATTGCATCGCTGTGAAACAATCCCATTGGAAACTTTATTTTTTAAGAGTGTAGGCCGCTGACTAAGGTCCAGCTATGTTAACAGTGTGGAAATACCTTTGCTAAATTGACTACAGTTTGCTACATTTATTCCTAATGCTTTCTCTCTTTTTCTTAACTTGTGAATATTAACTGGATATTAATTCTAATGTTTTTAAGAAACATATGAGAAAGTAAGCTGTAAAAAGTGAGGGGATCTGTTAAAGCAGTGCTGCACCAGATGGTGTTGTGAACGCATGCAAGTAGCACATTCGTGCACACAGACATGCCAAACTGAACTCATTGAAACACGGCCAGCAAACATGGATTTTATCAATCGGCGCAAAACAGGCTTCAAGACCACCAGAGGGAACAAAAGAATGACAGAGTGAGACTGAGTACCTAAAAAAGGACGACATTTAGCAAACAACTGCAGAACAACAGATCGTTCTCCTCAGCACGCTGTTCATTTTGTAGGATGTTCGTTATAGACAGAAATTGGTGCAAAGCGGCTCTGTAAAACATAGGTGGAGGCAAACCAAGGAAGAGACACTGCAGTGGGATTCTGTGAGCTTAACTGCACAGACCTTTGAACTGAGCCACCGGCACCAGGGATTTTCTTGAGACGTGGACACCTTTTGGAGAGCCAATTGTGCTTGTAGAGGAAGCAGTGGCTTCTGTCTTTTTGGTCTCTGCATCTTTGGCGGTAACAATAACGTTGTGATTACCCCCAGATAACGTAGCATCAACTTTCTCCTGCACTTTGCCCATTGCTTCCATGTGTTCATGAGGTAGAGGTTTTGTAAAACTATGTTCTTTGGTTTCAGAAGGTGCATATTCAGCGAGAGTTGTCTGAGCCCTGCTGGCCCATGCCGGAAGCTTTCCTTCTTCAGCATGGCTCTCATTGCCGTAAAAAGAGTGTTCTTTCTCTTCCTGAAGGATCTCGCTGTAAGGAGCCCTGGCTTCTACAATCCTCTCCCCGACGGTCGTCAGGTCTTCCAGGGCGGCGCTGCAGACCAGGAAAGTCACAGGTGGCTCATTCTCCAAAGACAGGCTCCTGGTGTGGTCTGGACTGACAGATGTCCGTCGATGATGGGAATGGACCGGTCGTCCAGAACAGCTGCTTCTGAGGAGGTCTTCGTCCTGCTCTAGTATTTTCTGGTGGTCTACACAGCTCCAGTCCAAGTGTTGCTCATAACCATCTGGTGAAAACCCTGCTGCTAAAGCTGGAAACAAAGCCGCTTTTGCCTTTCACTAATGCACGTCCCATTCACCATGGACAGACAGTGGTCAGAAGATTTATAGAAAGCAATGACAACATCTATGTATATCACTTTTCCCAAGGAAACTGCCACATGATAAGGAGGGAACAAAAATACTTGTGGTGACAACCGTAGAGGAAAGACGACGAGCAAACATAACAAACTGGTTTGCTGGCCTTTGCTAACATCCAAAACAAACAGCTGTGATGAAACCGGACTTCACACTGAACACAGAAATATGAGCTGATAGGTGCAATTAAAGAGCAAGATTGTTTGCAATAAGTGTTTTTTTTTACAACTTAAACATAAAAAATGATTTTTTTTGTGCCACTAACCTTGTGAAAAAGTATACTGTTTATTTAGTATTTATTATGGATAATGATATGTGATAATGATATACGTTAAAAGAATATGCTTAAGTGTGAACAATGTAATGTTTATTTTATGTTATTTACAATTAAATAAAAATGGATTATTAAGTCCAAGAGTGCTTTTTGACCCACTTAATTAAATATATGTTATTATGTTATTAATTACTTCATTGTCTTTGAACTAGGATTAAAGCACACCGCCGAATGTACTGACAAGCATTTATGCTAACTAAAATATATGTTTATGTCATGTATCTGTGATTGTATTAAATTGCAACTTTTTTTTTTAAATTGCAACATTTTATTATAAAAGTATATTTAAAATATACTAACTTAAACTGTAATATCAAATTACAAAACAGTTAAAATTGTTATTAAATATTTTACATGTGAGTCAAGAAATCAAAATAATTGCACTTCTTTAAAGCATGTCAAAAAAAATGTAAATGTAAAATTTGTATGGCCCTAAAAAAAGTAACACTTTTCATTTGACGTTATTACAAAAGTAATTATTGGAGTCTGCTCTTTAAAAGCACCTAGTTTCTACTGATTATTAAAATAAAATGGACATATCTCTGTGAATTCACAAAACCAAATAACCAGTACAAAATACAGATGAGTGACGTGGAGTACTACCAGAACAGAGAAAACAGAGAAAACAAACTGTTAAATTTAAAATATATATTTTAATAAAAAAAGGAAAAAACATATACGAGTATAGTTGTGTAAGAGTAAAATAGTGTTTTACCTGCGGGTGCCGTTCCTCCAGCTTATTAATGATCAGGATATGTAGCAAACAGAGAGAGAAACATAAAAGACAACATTAGAGAACCACATAGCATATTTTCTGGCAATTTCAGCTACAGAGATGCACTATAAACACTATAACCTAGAGTGAAATCAGACCATCAATATACTACACTTCATTTCGAAATCACAAAAGAAACAAATAATTGCAATTAAAGCACTGTGACCTATGAGAGAAAAGCTTTGGCTGAGATCCTATTTGGCACAAAGCATTAATTCCAGACTTGGCATAACATCACACCTACCCTGGCAAAGGCAGCTGAGCTCTCTGAGGTCTTTGTGACTAATCACATGGGAACTAATCTGAGAATGGCGCTGGAGTCTCCCTTGAGTTTATTTTGATTTAAAAGCCTGAAACCTGTCAGCATGCCTCAGCAGTGATGTCAAATTTAAACAGTGTGCTTGCAGACATACATATTACCTTACACTTTAAAAATCACCCCAATGTAAGCGCAACATAAAAAGGATTTCAAAGCAAGAAATGGCAATTTGAAACAACTGCATCCAAGATGGCATTCTTGTTACCAGTAGGCCCACTTCAAACAGAAGCAAATGCATCCTGCAAGCTTAAAATATGCAACAAATCAGTAAAAAAAAATGCTATAGAAAATTAGAAACATTAGGATGTAAGGCACAAAGGCATCCACATCAATAAAGGCAGTCAAGCAAAGTATGTCAGTCAAAAGAGGCAGCAGTTGATGGAGCAGAAGGTCCGTACCGCTCGCCACTTCCACGGCAGGCTGGGACTGATCTTCTTTCTCTTCCTGTCTTGAATCTTGGGGGCTTTCTATAAAACAATCATTTGAACAGTTCACACACCAAGCTCCTAAAGGAAGTCCTGGTTTACTTGTGCAAGTGAAGCTGTGGTTAAAGTCTAAAAGCAAGCTAGAAATGGAAGGTTTAGATTCCCAACTCAGCTGCAGTGAAACTTTAGCTGACTTCAAAAGTGCTCTGCTGAAAGCAAATAACTGGATGATTAACTCACATGAACACTATAACAAAAGATGAATTAAAACGGGGGAAAAAACACATATCCAAACAACCGGAAACAAAGCTAACACAGTCTTGAAACTCTGTATATTTAACAAGGCAAAGTTAGTAATAGGCATTGCACTGCATGAATAAAAATAATTACTTAATATAAAAAAAAAAATTGATTAACTTTTTCTTTTAAAAAAGGGCAATTTGTAAGGGAAAGCGAAGACAAACTGCATTTCAAAGCATCCTTATTATAAGTGCAGCAATGCATACCACACTGCTTCTCCTCAGCAGAGGAGGTGCCTTCAGCACTACTGAGCTCAACATCCACCCGTTCTTCTGAAAACTCTTCTGTGAGAGAGAATGTTGGTTAAAAAACACATAAGGCACAACTTATGTAGAGTCAGCTGTTGTTTTGGGACAATCAGTATTCATAGAGTATTAATTCATATGTTTAAAGGTTCTATTTGACATTGTATTCATCTTAATTGACAAAAATAATCATTTTATAAAGATCAGACATTTTTGTTTTAGTTTGTAAAACAATAATAAAACAATATTTATTTATTTTATTTTGTATTTTTTGTTTAGCTGTTTTGCAAAGTATTATGTTTTTCAACTGCAATAAATTGATGTCAAACAGCTGAAGCAATCAGTCACACTGTACTGTGACCTCTATGCAATCTCATCAATATTTCTCTGCAACTGGATCCCTGAACTTGGTAGGGAAACAACTAATGAATTCAGTTGTTGTAAGGATGCATTTAAATATAAAAATACACTGCTAATTTTACCGTCAAATAAAATATAAGGCGAGAAACTGATGCCAGCTGAATGTGCTGGCAACCCATATCAGCAAAAACCTGCAGTGCTGGAAAGTAACTGTTTATTGAAGTAACAAGAAACATTGTCCAAAATATCTAAAAGAAATTTAGTCCATTTAGGTTTTCAAAAACTTTGGCATTCAAACAGAATAAATCAGTGGTGCGGAAACTTTTTACTATGAGGGACAAAAAATTAATTGAGGGCTGTGGACCGAAAGTAAATTATGCATTATATCCAACTATATCATAATAAAATGTCAAATTGAACCGAATCGAATCAAATTGAATCGATAGTCATCTAATAAATTAAAAAAAGAAAATAATTCATTAGAAACAAAGATATGATTCAATGGCATGGCGGGCCAAAACAAAGGTCATCATCACAGGCCAGCATTGGGCCATACTATGATTTGATTGCAGCAAAATGGGACAACACTGGTGAAAACATTGTTTTGAGCATCCACGACATCCTGATGACAATTTCCTATTATTCAAATTATTTAAAATAAATAAATAAATAAATGTGCAATACTATGAATTCTACAAAAGCAAGCCAAATATATCAAAACAATTTTAAAAACATCGTTCAAAATTTTTTACATTATATTTCATTTGCAGCTGTACACAATAGGGGCTTTCACACATACAGCCCTTTCTGGATAATTACCAGTAAATTACAACTTAGAGATCATGTTGTCACGGAATCACCAGGCTCCACCCTTACCCAGTATCAGCGCTCTCAGTCTCCCGATTACTAATTATTACCAGCTGTCACTGATCACTCCAGCACCATACA